AAAAAAAAAAGAAGAAGAAGTTGGAGAGGTGTCTCAGTGGTTAAGGGCACTGTCTGATCTTCCAGGTCCTGAGTGCAAATAGGAGCAACCACATGGCGGCTCACAACCATCTATCCTGGGATCTGATGTCCTCTTCTGGCATGCAGATAGAGCACTCATCTATATAAAATAAATAAATGAGTTTTAAAAAATAATTTTAAAAAGGCTTTTTGTTTGTTTGTTTTGTTTTAACAGGGTCTCACTGTTGTTGACCTGCCTGGCCTGGAACTCACCATGTAGACCAGGCTTGTCTTGAGTTAACAAAGATCTGCATGTCTCTGCCTTCCAAAGGCAGGTACCATCACGCCCAGCCATACAGTATTGAACAGTTTCCTGGGGCTAGTAAAATGCTCAGTGAGTAAAGGCAAGAGACAGTAGTTGTTCTCATTTCCACATGTGAACTGCATGAACACAGATAAATAAATGTAGTTCTAGCTGTGCGCTCAGTGCACACTTATAATCCCAGCACTCAGGGAGGCAGAGGTAGGCAGATCTGTCTTGAAAAACCAAAGGGGGGTGGGGGAAGAAATGCAGTTCCTTAAAATTAGAAAATGGAGTTTCTTTTTTAAAAAACATTTATTATTTATACAGTGCCCCGCCTGCATGTGTGCCTGCACACCAGAAGTTGGCACCAGATCTCACTATAGATGGTTGTGAGCCACCATGTGGTTGCTAGGATTGAACTCAGGACCTTGGAAGAGCAAGTGCTCTTGACCACTGAGCCATCTCTCCAGGCCCACAAACGGAGTTTCTTATGAACATTTTCCTTGAAGCAGGAGTGTGTGTGTAGGGTGGTGGTGGGAATATACAGTTCTAACTCTGTAGCCCGAACTGGCATAGAACTCGCTGTGTAGCCCAGGTTGGCCTCAGATCTGCAGCATCTGTCCTTCCTTGCCTCTCAAGTGCTGAGATTACAGGCATGAGCCATGAGGCCCAGATTCTAACGCATCTTAAAATCAGGCAGTACGCAGACAGAAAGACGGGCGGACAGGTAGTAGATAAGAACCCTTACCACAGGCCTCCTTTCTGATCTGTGGTAGGTAATGCAGTGATCCAGCAAGCAGTCTTCATCCAGTTCCCTCTGACAAAATGGGCATTCGCATCTGGAAATGGCACAGAGCTAGGATCACTGAAACAGTGGTCATCTGGAGTGGCCACTTAACTCGAAATTTTAAAAAACAGACATACAGGCTATAGCTAGGTTAGTTTGTTCATTTATTTATTTGTTTGTTTATTTTGTGAGGGGGGCAGGGTCTTTCTACATCACCCAGGCTTGCCTTGGTTGTGCTGCTTCTAGGTCCTAACTGCTGGGATTATGGTCGTGCACCCCCACACCTGGCTTGCTTGTTTGACTCTTTGGGATTTTGTTTCTTTGTTTTTGTTTGTTTGGTTTCAAGACAGGGTTTCTCTGTGTAGCCTTGGCTGTCTTGAAACTCACTGAATAGACCAGACTGGCCTAGAACTCAGAGATCTGCCTGCCTCGGCTTCCCAATTGCTGAGACTAAAGGCGCCAACTGACTCTGACTCCTTGTTTTAAGACAAGTTTTGCCAGGCAGCTCAGGCTTTCCTCAGGCTCTCAGCAATCCATCTGCCTCAGCCTCCTGAAATGATTACAGGCATATGTCACTGTACTGGAAAGGGATTTTTTGTTTTATTCTCAGTGCATGGCTCAAGCAATCCTCAAGGTTATCATGTAGCATAACCTAGTCTTGTACTGGCGATTCTTCTGCCTTGGTCTCCTGAGTACTGAAATTATAGTCATGTAGCACCAAGCCTAGCTTTAAAATTCTTTGCTATAATTTTAACCAGCAAAAGAAATGAGAACTTAAGCCAGTTTCTGTATATTTTACATTTTTCATAAACTCCATCAACTTGCATTCAATGCCATATTTTTCTCAACCTATTTTTAACCTTTCTTCCTCCCTACTGGTCAATCTAACAGAATCTGTATTCTGCGTACAGCAAAAACACTCATTTAAAATTTATTAATCAGCTGGGCATGCCTTTAATCCCAGCATTCAGGGAGGCAGAGGCAGGTGGATCGCTGTGAGTTTGAGGATAGCCAGGTCTACAAAGCAAGTCCAAGACTGCCAAGTCTACTCAGAGAAACCCTGTCTCAACATCTCCCCCCACAAAAAAAAATATGACATTATCTATAAAACAAATCCTGCAATAACAGGTACATTATCAGGACAAATGCAAGTAAAATAAAAAGAACAGAGTGATCCTTTAGACTTTTAGGTAAGGACTCGTATGTTTGAGGCTAGAGAGATATCTCGGCATTGAAAAATACTTGCTGTTCCTGCAGAGGACTCAGGCTTTGTTCCCAGCACCTACATGGAGGCTCACAACTGTGTGTAACTCCAGTTCCAGAGCATCCAATTTCTGACCTCCATAAGATCCTGTACCCACATGGTGCAGACATACACTCAGGCACAGATACACACACAAATATTAAAAAATAATAATAAGAGTTGGGTCCTAGAATCACCCACTTGTAAAAAGAGACATGCAAGTTCAATTTTGAGTACACTTTCATGTGTGAGTACCTCACTCTGTAGCACAGGATGGCCTCTGACTCATGACTCCTGTCTCAGCCTCCCAAGTGCCTAGCTTATTCTCCATAGACACACTGGATTTAGCTTGACATTACACTGCGTTCCAACAAACCTTGCTGTTGTCTCGCCGAGTTCTTGCAGCGGCCCGTATTTTTCGATGTACTTCTCACAAGTCCTTATGTGGGTCCTCATGTCACTGAGGCAAACCTACACAAAGGCAAATTCAGGATAAAACTCCTGTTGGAAAGGGACTTTATGTGAGCCAGCTCCATAACTTTCAAATCTGCTTTTATTGGGGCAGGTAATAAATGGAATTTTTTTTTCATGAAATAGTCACAAAGTACAGGCATTATCAAGAATACTGTGCCAGATGGTGGTGGCATACATTATTAATCCCAGCATTTGAGAGGCAGAAGCAGGTGGATCTCTGAGTTCAAAGCCAGCCTGGTCTACAGAGTGCATTCCAGGACAGCCAGGGCTACACAGAGAAACCCTGTCTCAAAAAATCAAAAAGTAGAAGTAGCAGCAGCAGCAGCAATAGTAGTAGTAATAATAATACAATAATTGTGTTTAAAAATCCAACACTTCAGAAACATTGAAGTGAACTTTTAAATTTGTTCCTTCTAAAAAATATGCTGTTTTTGAAAAAACAAAAAGATGCTGAGTAGCAAAGGATTTTTTTTGCATGCTATTATGCAAATAGGTTTTTGAAAAAAAAAAGAAAACTAGGTGAAGAGAAAGAGTAAGAAGAGGGAAAGAAGAAAAACATTAACAAGAGATGAAAGGAAATGGAGGCGAATATTGGATATACACACTTTTTTCAAGTGTCCATCGTAAACTAAACGAAACCTCACACATTAAGTGAAGTAATAAATGCCATCAGCTTGCAACATGTATAAGTATTGTTTGAGTTTACATCGCACAGCATACTTACCAGGTCTATCAAGGCAAACACAAACCACAGCTCCTGGAGCCCATCTTTATCAGAGCAGAATGAGGAGCCCTTCTTTGTCCACATGCACACCCACAGGGCTCTGTTGATCGCAGTTCACACTCAGTTTCCTCAGAAATGCTGCTAAGATCTCCCGGTGGAGGAAGCTTCTCACAGCTGTGGTTAGCTGGCAGCCCACAGCCAGCCCACGCTGCCTCATTGTGCCCAAACTTCCGTTGGAAGTTCAGCTTCAAAAACTCTACCACATGATGGAAATAGCCACTATTGCTTAACAAGGGGCAGAAGGAAAGCTAGCAAGGACATGAAAACAGTGACAAAGTACCCACCAAGAACAAAAGGAAGGACTGATCAAAGCAGCTGCCTTTTTTTGCTTGTTTGTTTGTTTATTTGATTTTTGAGACAGGGTTTCTCTTTAGCCTTGGCTGTCCTGGACTCATTTTGTAGACCAGGCTGGCATCAAATTCACAGAGATCTGCCTGCCTCTTCCTCGCTGAGTGTGGGAGGTACAGGTGTGCTCCACCCATGCCCAGCAACCCAGGTCGCTGTCTTAAAAAGACATGTTTATAGCCAGACATGATGGTGCATGTTTTCAATTCCAGCACTTGGGCAGCAAAGGTGATTGTATCTTTAAACTCTAGGCCAGCCTGGTTTACACAGAGTTCCAAGCCAGCCAGAACTACACAGTAAGAAAGAGAAAGATGGGCAAGGAGGAGGGAGGGAGGGAAATGTTTATAATCAATAGTATCTATTACAGTTAATTTCTGGTCTCCACAAAGGAGAAGGAGAGAACCAATTCCCACAAATTGTGCTCTGGCATCTACGTCAAAGCTGTGGCTCATGTATGCCTGTTTGTGTATACACACACAAACACACATACGTTTAACTGAAATAAAGATTTAAGAATTGTAGTTACACAGTTTCTCTTTACTATATATATAGTATATATACTTATATATATACTATATATATATACTTGGTATATGTTATATACATAATATTATTTTATACACATATATTATATACACACATATATAAAAAATATATATATATATATATATATATATATATATATATATATTAAGTTCTTATATATTGAGCCAGGCATTATGGTGAACACCTTTAATACCAGCATTTGAGAGGCAGAGGCAAGTGATCTCTGCTAACCTGTTCTACATAGTGAGTTCCAGGCTATATAGGCCTGCAGAGTGAGACCTGCCCCAGAGACAGTGAGAGAGTGGAAGGAAGGAAGGAAGGAAGGAAGGGAGGAAGGAAGGAAGGAAGGAAGAAAGAAAGAAAGAAAGAAAGAAAGAAAGAAAGAAAGAAAGAAAGAAAGAAAGAAAGAACAGATTAGCTCTAAAACAGGTGTGGTAGTACACAAATATTCCTCAATACTTAGAAAGCTGAAGCAGAAGGATCACAAGTAACAAGCTAGACGAGGTTAAAACTCTGTTGTTGTTTTTTTTAAAATCACGTTCTTATATTTATGGCTGTGAGCCTTCCCTATCATTGGACTGGGGGAGGGACATAGGAGAAGGAGAGAGAGGATGCGATTGGGAGGGGATGAGGAGGGGGCTACAGCTGAGATACAAAGTGAATAAACTGTAATTAATAATAATAAAAAAAATCACAGGGCTGGAGAGATGGCTCAGAGGTTAAGAACAGTGGCTGTACATCCTAAGGTCCTGAGTTCAACTACCAGCAACCACATGGTGGCTCACAACCATCTATAATGAGATCTGGTGCCCTCTTCTGGCATGCAGGGGTACATGCAGGCAGAATACTGCATAAATAAATAATTTTTAAAAATCACATTCTTTGTTCAAGAAAGGTAAGCCTTCCTTAGTAAATCACAACCTGGGAATTGTACATTGAGAAACAGATTGAAAAATGTATAATCTATGCCTATAATCAGCCAAGGCAACACAGAGAAACCCTGTCTTGAAAAACCAAATAATAAATAAATCATCTAGACATACATTCAAATCTGTTGCTTACAAACAGATTACAAATCTGTTGTAAGGTGCTGTTGAAGAGACAGTAGACGATGAGCCTCGTGCCTATTCTAATGGTGCAGATAATCCAACAGAGGAACAGATGTTACAGAGGAATAGATATGAGGACGGGTGACTAAAAGGTTGTTTCTAGCGGAACTTGGAACACTAAGGCCGGGCTGCAAGGAGAGGAGAGTGGGCCTGGGCAGTGAAGTGTGCAAAGCTTAGAACTCGTAAAAGGAAGAGGCAACACTCTGGACGGAAGGGTAGCCTCGAAAGCAAGAGACTAACACAGAGTTCTTCAAACCAAAACCCTGTGGCTGATCAGACACCTGGAGGGAGAGTCTGGCTGGGGGCTTCATCCAGCGTTTGACAATGCTGTTGCTATGGACAGACAGCCATGGGAAGGTTGCCCATGTATGCCGCCCCCTCATACAACATAAATAAATCACGAAGAATAAACAAGTAACTGTGACAAATCGGAAACAGTAAGCGAGAGAATCAGTGTTGGCTCTCAGGATGCTTGTCCCGGAAGGTTGCATATCAGTTCTAGTTAGGAGGCCATGATAAATTATTGATTCTTACATTTACAAATATTTTTAAATGCACCAAGGCCTTGGTGGATGAGTGTTGGGTACAATGTTACAGGAGGCGCCATGCTCCTCTTTGTCCTTGCCTCAAGGGCTCTGGTGGCGGGTACTTGGTGTCCATTCAGCTCGCTGAGAAAGATGGTAACAGGAGCGGAATCTAGCAGGAGATAGCGCTTGGGGAAGAGCAGGTGCAGGTAACCAAGAGGTCATAGCATCCTCCTGCTACCTCAGTCAGAGGTACTTCCTTAGGGACCAGAGGTAAGGGCAAGGAGAGGAGGTCCAGATGGCTTCCTGCTGTGAGGCAAGGGGAGAGAGTAGCCATGTTCTTTGATTTCTGGGAACTGACTTTTTGTTTGGGGTATTTGTTGTATTTGAGACACTGTGTGTTATTCCGTCCTGGCCGGGCTGGAACTTGCCATGTAGAATGGGTCAGCCTTGAACATGCAGCAGATCCTCCAGCATGCTGAGATTAAAGGCCTGAGCTATCACACATGGGTTTTCCTATGATTTTTTTTTTTAATCCCACACTAAAAATCTTATTTTCAGGTGGGCGTGGTGGCTCATGCCTGTAATTCCCAGCACTCCGTGAGGCAGAGGCAGGCAGATCTCTGTGAGTTTGAGCCCAGACTGGTCTACAGAGTGAGTCCAGGACAGCCAAGGCTACACAGAGAAACCCTGTCTCAAAAAATATATTTTTTTTCTAGCTCTGAATGGTGGTAGGAAAACAGATAAAGTAAGAGTTCCAAGTTTCAAAAAGAATGTTTAAGGGGCTGGTGGGCTACAGAGAAAGTCCACAGTTAGCGTAGGTAACTTAATATTGACTATCTCAAAATCAAAAGTGAAAATGGGATTTGTGGGGCTATGGTTCAGTGGTACAGCATTCACCCAGCATGCAGGAAGCCCTGGGGTTCGCTTTCCAGTGCTGCATAAACACAAACACAAACACGAACACGAAAGGAGCCGATACTGTCCGGCAGGTATGTATTCCCAACACTTCCAAAGCAGAGGCAGGAGGATAGCAAGTTTAAGCTGGGCTACAGAATAAGACCCTGCCCCCAAAGGAGTGGGGCTGGGGCTGGAGAGACAGAGACAGTGGAACGATAGTGCCGCCGGGAACCTTTGCTTGTAATCGTGAACATGGGCTGCGTTACTCACCAGAGTCCCACATTCAGCACAGTTCTGGTATTCTGATTTCATCCTTCTGGCTATGTCAGTTGCTGGCACCCCCTCTGAAGGAAGGTACGCCCGGCAGTATGGACAGGTCCATTTATTGTTCTTTATACTGGTGGCAATACATGATCGGCAGAACCTACTCAAAACAGAGAACACATCAGGAGATATGGCTCAGCACTCGGGTGCACACTACTCCTCTAGAAGACCTGAGTCCCATTCCCAGCATTCAGGTCTTCTGGCCTCCCAGGACACCTGTACTCATATGGGCACATACCCACACATAAACACATACACATAATTTAAAAATAAAATAGGCAGGCATGATAGCCCACGACTTTAATTCTAGCGCTCAGGAAGCAGAAGCAGGCAGATCTCTGAGTTCGTCAACCTGGTCTATATATCAGCTTCCAGTATAGCCAGAGCTATACAATGAGGCCCTGTCTCAAAAAAGAAGGTGGAGGTATCTGGGCTTTGTTAAGGTCCATTCAACTGCTCTCAGGTAGAAAGACAATCTATCTCTGGTCTTTCACGGAGACCCAAATCATTAACAATAGAGTTGGGCCTATCAATCACCTCAGATAGGCTGATTTCCTCAAGCCAAGACAAAAAGATGGGGAGAGTAATTATCCCCTTAATGAGATGACATACTTTTTTAATGCACTTTTTTTTTTGAGGGGGGGTCGTTTGTTTGTTTTTCTTTCAAGACAGGGTTTCTGTGTGTAGCCTTGGCTGTCATGAAATGTGATCTATAGACCAGCCTAGCTTGGAAGAGACCCCAGAGACCTACCTGTTTCTGCCTCCCAAGTGCTGGGATTAAAGGTGTTCACCACCCCTGCCTGGCTTGAGATGATGTATTTTAAATGTATTTTCCTTCCCAAAAACTCACTCTGGAAGTAGTCACTTATGGAGTCACTATTTTTCTGAATTACCCAGAAAAAATGTAACTTTTTCTTCTCTCCAAACTCTGGGCAAGCTTTCACTGAAACTCCAGGCTTTCTCAGTCTCTGCTTCTGCTATGTGGCTGCTTGCTGAACATGTCAGACCCTATCTCAAAAGGCACAATTTCTTACCCCATGTCTACATTCTCTTATGATGAGACTAAAATCCGAAAAGGGAACCTCAGTTTTACCATTAACATCTTTACCTCCTGAAATCTATCAGGGATTACAGGAATACAGCACTAAGCCTGGCTTAAAGTGTATTGTTTTTTGTCTGTTTGTTTTTTGAGAAAGGGTCTTACTGTGTATGTAGTCTTGGTTGGCATGAAACACACTATGCAGATGAGCCTGTCTTCAAACTCACAGACATCTGCCTGGTTCTGTCTACTAAGTGCTGGGGTTAAAAGTATGGGCCACCATGCAAGCCTTGAAAATTTATCCTTTTAAGAGTGTTTATTACAACTGTCTCAAATGTTCAACTCAAAATAACTAACATTCCAAACACAATATCAATGGCTCTAACCTATATTACCTGCTCACATGACTTATGTAGCAGCAGATAACCCTCACTCCTCGGAAGTCGGAAACGAGGCTGCAGAAATACTCAGTTTAAAGAGACCCGAGGCTTTAAGTTGGACATGGTAGCACACAGCTATAATCTTAGCATTTGGGAGGTGGAAGCAGGAAAATCCAGGTCATCCTCAGCTAAGTAGCTAGTTTGAGTCTAGCCTAGCCTATAAAAATAAACAAACATACAAACAGCAAACCAGGGATAGGAAATAGAGGAATGAAATAAAAACAAGGGTATATCCTTTGTCAAATTAGAAGGAAAAAAATTAAATCAGCATGGTAATGTACCACTCTAATCCTAGTACTTGGGAGACTGAGGCAGGAGGATTTTGATCAATCTGTATGACATAAAACTTTTAGGATAGCCTGGGCTACAAAACCCTTTACAAAAATCAAACAGGGGGAAAACAAAAACAAAAACAGTGGTATGAGTACAAAAAAACCTGGAGAAGAGCTGGGAATATTTTCCTAACAGAAACAAAACCAAAAACTACAACAGCTGGAAACCACTTTGCTGAAGTTCAAGAAGGCAGCCAGGAATCCTAGGGTATAATCTGAGCTGTGCAGAGAGAGAGAGTAGACAGGGGACCAGCCTAAATTCAAGAGGAAGATCATAAAAGTTCAAGGCCAGCTAGGTATTGATTGAGAGTACCACGAAAAACTACATTATTTTTAGTTGAATGTTTGGATCATTTGCAACATGCGTCTTTAAGAATGCACTCTCATCCCGTGAAACCGCTCTCAAAACAAAAACCAGGGCGGAGGCTAAGAGTAATAGAAAGGCATTCAGAATCAAGCAGGAAGTTTAACATTTTATAGGTCATTTAAGGCCCCTACAAACGAATGAACCACCTCACATCCTTCTAAATCTATAACAAATTTATTCATGACACTTTGGTGCCTCAAGCTGGGTTTGGGAGTCACAAACTTGTAAACCTGACACTTGGGAAGTATAAGGAGGCTCAGAAGTCCAAGCCTAAACAAGTTCAAGACTAGGTTGAGCCACATGAGATTCTATCTCTAAAAACCAAGACCAGGTTAGGAGTATGTATCACTTGGTGAATGGAGTGCTTGCCCTGTATGGATGCGGCCCAGGGGGCCCGTGGGTGAGGCGCACCAGTAGCCTCAGAAGTCCAGAGGTAGAGAAGGAGTTCAGAGTCATCTTAGTTAGGTTAGTGAGTTTGCTATATGAGACCCGGGCTCAAAAGGCCAAGGCATATAGTGGTGCCTTACACCAGCAAATGCCTGTTGACAGTAGCAAAGGGACAGGCAAAACAAAACCCGTGCCCCTTCTGCAAATGAAAGAGCTCCTGGCTGCATGATCCCAAAGTTGATTCTGGAGACGGATGGATCTGATATGGCTAGCCTTAGGGGAAGAGACTGACCACAAAGGACAGGAGGGGATTTCTCAGTGTAAAGGAACTAACTGTCCCAAATAGTGGTGTTGTTCCAGGCTGTGTGAACAGTTGCTGCAATTGATCAACGCAGCTTACATGCTGTATGAGTCAGAGTGTATCACCTCAATAAAGTTGAGAAGCAAAACAAAAAAACATTGCTGGGATGACAGGGCAGTTACAGTAACACAGTGAGAAAGATCACAGGACCGCTTGGAACACAGGGTCCCTCCTACACAGCACAGGCACAATGGTAGCTGCTCAGAACACGGTCAGAAAGTTGACGTAACAATCGGTTCTGAGAAATTGCCCAATAGAGACTTCTTTGGGAATTCCCACAGTTCCCATGAGTAAATCATACCGTGGCGTCCTGCAGCTCAGTTGATAAGAGTGCTTGCCTGCACTGCGGACAGACAGCAGTGTGCACAAAGGCCTGGGTGCTGTGGTACATGCCTATAATCCCAGCAACTGGAAGGTGAAGGCAGCAGGGGCCGCAGTTCAAGATCAGCCCCAATGATGTAAAAGGTTGACCAGATTGAACTCTCTCCGTGAGACCCTGTCTCAAAAAGAGTGTGATATCTTTCTGCCATGAAGGAAGGGAATGGGAGGGATGGGAACGGTCACTAATAGAAGGAGGTGTTGGGTTGTCTGCCCTGACCCTCCAGGAGGAATCACAAACGGAGGGATCATCGTAAAGAGAATATAGCTAAAGGATAAGAGCTGAGCATGGCTGTAAATGGGATCCCATCTTGAAAACCTCGCTCCATCGCTGACATACTCCTTTAATCCAAGTACAAAGGAGACAGAGACCGGAGGATGTCTGTGAACTCAAGACCAGCCTGGCTTACAGGCCAGCCAAGACTACAGAGTGAGACCCTGTCTCAAACAACAGCAGCAAATCTGGCTTCTTGTTTTCAAAACCTCTGGATGTGGTCAGTGAAATACCCAGTAGCAAAAGTCTACCACTGGTTGTCCTCTGACCTCCCACATGTACACCATGGCAATGCACCCCTCCATACACACTTCCCATAAAATAAATAAAGGTAATTTTCAAATGGAAAAACAAAAGGAAACCTCCTGAATGCATCACCAGGGTTTTGAAATCAGATTTCTCACAAACCCTTTCTCCTGGCTTTCTTGTGAGGCCTGTCTTACTAGCCTCCTTCCACTCCAGTGCCATCTCCCAGAAGTGCTTGGGCTGAAGCCCTCTCCCTGAGGAGTGTGGCCCTTCACTCCAGCCCCCCCCCCCCCCCCCCCCCCCGCTTGTAGCACAGCAGGGGAAAATCAATAAGGAACTCTATAATGACTCAACCATCTCGGAAACCAGCTGGAAACGTAATCACATCACTCCTATTTGTTATTTTACGAACCTCATTCTATTTCCCTAAAATAATTAGCCAAAATCCCCCATAATGAAGAGGCCAGCAGAGAGCTGAAACAGGAAACACAGCTAAGGACACTGGAGAGACTTAGTCCCCAATCTCAGAGCAAAACTGAACTCTCCATGAATTGAAACAGGAAAGAGAAGCCCTGGGGACTCTCTAGGGTGGAGGGGAGGGATCTGGAAGAGGCTGTTGGCAGGTGGCAGGCCTAACCTTTTACCCGAGGTACCCAACACAAAGCTTCACTAGGGATGTGCTGGCTGGACTTAATGGTTCACACCGCCAGTTGGAAGGCTGAGGCAGGAGGATTGCTTTAGGTTGAAGGCTGGTCAGGGCTATAAAGTGTGCTTCAGGTCAGCCTGGGTTAGACAGAGAACGTGTCTAAATAGAATTTAAAAAAAAAAAGATATGAGCTGGCAAAGCAAGAATGAAAATAGAAACAGATTAAGGGAAGCTGTTATTCAAAGATAAAAGGCACAGACTAATATTCCACTATAGGGCAACACACAAGTCTCCCTCCAACAATGGATCATTCTGGTCTGGCCCATGTACAGCTTAATGGTACAGTGTATACAGTGTGTGCCTAGAAAGAGTGAGATCCTGGAGTGTGAGATACTGAGTTCAGTCCCCCGCACAGCAAGAAAAACAATAACCCTATTGTGTCTAATATGGGGCACACATACACACAAGCTACAAAAGGTCCCGTGACTGATGCTATTGAAGGACACCAAATTGTACGAACTATGTTTTGTTTTGGAATCATTTCAACAATATCCGATGCTCAATGGCCAAGCTTTTCTTTCAAGGAGTGGTGACATTGTGCTTTAAGAAGAACAATGGCACTCAAGAATT